GTGAGGGTAGTGAACTCCTGCACATATGCGCGGATGCTGCCCGTTTGCTTCAGCTCCCTAAACTTGCGCTTCGCCTCATAGATGACGTTGTTAGGGAAGAAGGTCTTCTTGAACTCTTCCCGGAATTTCTCCCAGGTGTTGATGGTGAACGTCCCCTTCCCTATCTCGGCCTCCTTGTGCCTCCACCATAGCATGGCCATCTCCGAAAGATACAACACAACGGTGTTGATCTTACTCTCGTCGTTCTTCAGCCCGTTGCACTTGAAGTAATTCTCCAAATGCCAAAGGAAATTCTCCACCTCTTGCGCGTCACAGACGCCTTTGAACATAGGTGGCTTGGGAGCCTCGACCCTGGCCTCCCTATTTCGGTCAAGCGACGATGATCCTCCAGCTACCACATCTTCCTTGAGTGCTTTGATCTAGGCCTTCATGGTCTCAATTGTGCTCAACGCCTCCATGAGCCGACACTCCGAGAAAGTGATAGCCTCATTCATCTCAAACTCGTCCCCCTGACGTCCCTCCAACTCCTTGCGAAGGTTTTCAGTCTGCTCAAGGGTGAAGTCCTCAAGGGTCTTGAACTTGCCATCGGCCACGTTCAAACGCCGACCTAATATCTCCATGGCCTGCCTTGCCGTTTCAACCCTTGCGATCTACTCCCCTCCAGGTGTGACGTCAATGGGCTCCTCGCCACGGTCATCGTCACTTGCTTCGGTGGTCGAAGGTGGATGAGATGTTAGCGCCTCGCTTGGTGTGGGGTCGAGCAGCATTTCCTCACTACCTTTTTAATGTTTCTTTCCCTTGCGATTCTTCTTTCCTCCCTCCAAACGGACGTTGGTGGTGCTAGCGGTGTTCATGTCTCTTTCGTTAGTCATTCCCTTAGTATCAAACCTCCGCTCTAATACCATTTTGTCACGGACTTAGAGTTTTTGCTAAAGCTCCGTGCGGCACTTGACAGCTTACTCACGAATCTTTCACGATCTTGTAAGCTCAAGTAAGCCCTTTGAAACTAAGATTGCTAAGAGAATGAAAGGAAGACTTAGAGAATTTTGGAAGAAGACTTATATTGCTTGGAAGAATGCTTTACAACTTGCTTGCTTGTATGGTGCTTTGCAAATGAGAGGCACCTCTATTTATACTAGCACATAGGGACTAAAGTACAATTTAAATTTACTTTACGAGTCCCTAACTATTTACACTTTGATCCTAGCTCTAGAACTCTCTACACACTCTAGGACCTTCCAAGACTTTCTTGAAATATCTATATTATTCTAGAGGGAATTCTCTAGCCTTCTTGATTAATCTAAAGGGTTCTAGAGTCTTCCGGAAACCTCTCCACAACTCTACATCCTTCCGCCTCTATTCAAACACAAAATTTCAATGTGATGTGGCGGGACGTGACACATGGGCTATAACACATGAAAAATTGAGAAATTTGGGTAGCTCCTAAAAAATGGCTTGTAAATGCGGAAATGAGCATGAAATAAATGGTATGAGTATACGTGGTGGTTCCCAACTCATTACGGAAGTCTTCATAAAGTTTTTTTGAGAAAAAAAATTTGGGTGCTTCGGGGCGTTCGATCCATGTGCTATAAACACATGAAAAATCGAGAAATTTGACTAATTTCTAAAAAGGGGCATGTTAATTCGGAAATGTGCGTGAAAAAAATGGTGTGCGCATACGTGGGGGTTACCTAACTCATTACGAAGGTCCTCAAAAAGTTTTTTCAGAAAAATACCGAAGTGATATATATATAGAGAGAGAGAGGAATTTTGTTATTTCTTTAATTTAATTTTAAAAAATTAACATAAAGAAATAAAAATTAGAGGGGTTTGGTTGTAGTTCATCGTCTCACCTCTCTTCCTGACCAAAAATTTTTCTCCAATGTAACAACATAATCCTTTGATTTCCATGGAAACCAAAGGGTTTTAAGCTTGAAAATGCTGATTAAATTGGTAATGATCTTCTTTTCTTTATTTTCTAATTAAGGTTTTGTTCGCGTTTTTCTTACTGATTAAATTTCTTGTTCCGTTATCATCCGACCATGAAATTCTTAACATTGTTGGAGATCCACATCGACCAAAAATAGTCATGAATAGAGGAGAGAATATTAAATCCTATGAAATTAAACAACTAAAAAGAGTGGAAAATATTTTGGGTCTTGTTTTGATGTCAGTTTTAATGGAGGAGAAGTTAAATAGGAAGAAGAAGAATATTGTTGAGGTTGGAAACTAAAAATTGAAGGAAATTTTTTTATAAAAACAAAAAGAAAGAAAAAAGCCTGATGTGACGTTTTTCTAACCTTTCACGCACTAAAAAGAAATTATAACATCAAACTCACTAATTTGGGATAGAAACGAATAATTTGTGCTAAGTTTAAGATATTTTTGATACTTTTCTCTTTTTAAAACATAATGATATTTTTGTGATAATGTAACCAATTATATTTATTCATCAAGTTGTTGTTACTATAAAAATTTATATCTATATCTTAAAAAGTATCGTTGGATGCACCTTTGACTTTAGATGAAAACAATTCAGAAGTAGAAAAGTACACAAATTGATAAGTTAGGACGTGAAACTTCAAAACAAAAAAAAAAATCAATATTTAAAAATAAAAAATAAAAAAAACTTGTGCCTTGGTCCCATTAGCCCTTTGTGTGTAATTTCTAGGAGAATCAAGAAACCTCTCCCACCAAAAAAAAAAAAAAAAGAATCATTTGAATGGACATATAAAATCAGCCATATTTCTTTTCCAGAGAATTATTACTATCTGATTTCACCTTCCCTCTCAAAAGGTACGCTTTCCAATTTTCATTTCTCTTTAAAGTTTTCAACTTTACAAAAAAAAAAAAGAGATCATTTTAGGGAGGTCATCGATATGCTTTGATTATGTTTTTTTTAAAAAAAATTGGTAACTTTATATGCTTTGATTATTGTTTGAATAGGACTCATGCGCTTTAGCTGATATTAATCACAATTTGGGTATATCAAATAAATTGTACAGTTACCCGTTAATCTCTTCCAATTTGTTTCATAATTGGTTGAGTACAACTATAATGATTGATTCAAGTATTTTAGTTGACTACAAAGTGTGATAATGGTGAGACTTTATTCTATTACGAGGTCACGGTGTAGGGTATAAGGTATAATAATCTCAATATGAAATGTAGGATTATTTTATTCGATATACATGGTGTAATAACTTATTCCAAGATCACGGTAAAAAACCAAACTTTGCAATCTTGTGCTTTATCTTAGAACACAATATCCCAAACTCTTGGTTACAAGGGTGGTTCTACTAAAGCTGTGGCTTTTGACCCTGTAAATATTTGAGGTCTCAAGCAACTTTAAACATGTATATTTGTAAAATTTTGAAGCCAGATGGTGTTCCACACTCTATTTTGTTGTAAGTAATTCTTCTCTCTCTTGAAGAAAATCAAATCGATTATAAGAATTAACTACTTTGTATTTTAAGTAGCTAACTATATAAAGAAAGTTGAGGCGGAGGCCACCTATTTTATTGAGCCCCTGGTTATGGTTAGCTATAATGAGTGTGTTTTCAGTAGTGGTGTTACATTTACAAGCTAAAATGAACCAAGGCTGGATAATAATTGGTCAAGAGGCATGTTTCTGCAGAAGCCAGTTACAATGTTATTACCAACATTATTTGGGACATACTGGTACAGAAGTTACAAAGCCTCGAGAAGATGAATTTTGAAATTCGACGTACCCGTCCTATTAGCAACGAGAAGGAATGATAGAGATGGGTGTTAGCTTGACATGTTAGCCAAAGAAGCACAGACAACTGCCAGTCTCGCTCCGTACTAGGTGGAGTGACTAATTTACTTTTGCATTATTACATCAAAATTTATTTCTCCATTCATGGCAATGTTGCTGCTTCTTCAGTGTAATAAAGGGACTGCCCCTAGATATCCATCATTCCCATCGAATTACTTAATACGGAGGAACACTTGCTCAAAGTCATAAACCTAGAAAAAGATAAGCTATTCTGCATCAGAAAATATATGCTGGGAGTAGAAAGGTTTTTCTTGGTAGTACTATGTAACACAGATGATCTATTTTCCACATTTGAGCTTTGCTTTGTCTTTTCTGTTTTTGTTTGGTTTAAAATCTAATAAATGTGACAATGCTTCACCAAGAAAGTGATTTTGCTTTTCAGTACATCAAAAGTCTAAACAAAAGACTCCCTCCGTTTCAATCTGTTTGTATGATTTTGACTTGGCATGGATTTTAAGAACATAAACAAGTCTTTTGAATTTTGTGGTCTTAAACTAAAGAGATGTCGAATGTACCAAAATTGCTTTTAATCTTGTGCTCTTAAACATGACATGTGGAAAGTTGATATTAAAGAACTGTCAAAAAGGAAAGAAATATTATTTTTTAAACGGGCGAAAAGGAAAGTAAGACAAACAAATTGTAACGGAAGGAGTAACATTTTTTGATGAGGAAAGTGATTTTGACTTGGATATAATTTAAAGAAGAAGTCACTGATATTCGATATGTAACAGTGATTAGTTTTATCAGAGATGTAGAAGAATTTGGACTAGAAGGGACTAGGGGGAGGGGGTAAATGAGTGGAATAAAATGCATAGCATGGAAGACTCATGAAGGAATTATTTCTTTGCTGTGATACTTTTAGTCTGAAATGTTGTCAGTAAGATATTTTTTCAATCCGGATATTTATGTTGTTGCTTTCTCCAAACTCGTTGATGCTTAACTGCGTGCATGTTTAACCCTTGACTGGCCTTATTCAAAAAGAAAGGGAAACATGTTTAACATTTGATGCTCGGATTCTAGCTTCTTCTATTTTCACTGTTAATAGTTATTGATCTTACTGGGGACTAGTCATATATGTATTCAAGTAGATTTTGATTGTTGAATCTGATTGATCTGCTCTGCTGTTTGGTCGTTTCTTAGGTTACACATTTCCACTTTCCTGGTTAGGGCTACCTCAGAACTTCAGCAATGGTATGTTGTACTGTTATCTTTTTTATTATTGGTGCAATGTTTTCCAGGATATGCTTGCCAATCCATTCTTCCTTGAATTTGAGTATCATTGTTTGGCTGGTTTGTTGGGGTTTTTTTCATTGTTTTGCTGGTTTATAGAAGTCTTTAAAATTATATTTGATAATGTTTGGATCTTCAATTTTAATTCTTCAACCTATATCAAATTGATACACTGTTTCAATATGGAGGGAGGAGGGAAACATTGATGTATGTTTTGGGACTCAAAATGTTAGGCACCACCTTTGTGCTTAATGAAATGACTCTTTATTCTGTGATAAGTTTGTAGACATGATTCCTTATCTGGATGATATTCAACTCAAGCTTTTGGTAGTGGTAAGAGCGCAATGCTTGATGTGTGGGTTTCTCTACTCTTTTGGTATACTCTACTTGTATAGAATCTCCCAACATTAATCAAATCATTTAAATTATTAAAAAAATGGTAAAGAGAATATTACATTAATAGCTTGAGAAATTAGCAAATGGGGCGATAAGGAAGGGATAACATTTGTGGTAAAGACCTTCCATCTTCAACTATGAGGTTAGGATTCTAGTTATCAAGGGAGCAAAATGAGAAAAAAAAATATCATGGGTGGGGGATTTCTAGGGGTGGAGATTAGCTTACAAAAACACAATAAATCCTTAATCCCAGGCTTGTTGGATCTGAATCCTTAACTATCCATTTTGCTCAATTTGGACCCATCCAATTCCAGTATTCAACAATTTAAGTTCTCTATCACTAGAGTTCCACAATTTCTATTAACATGCAAATCTTTAACAAGCTCTAAGCAAACATTAGACCTAATGTAAACTTCCCCAACATGACTAAACTGTAATTTCAACTAGTTATGTTCTATTTCTTTTTGCTAAATATGCATAAATTCCAAGAGATTGTAGGTCTTTCAAAACAACTTCTTTCCGTTTGACTTTAGGTTTACCTCTTTCTCTTAACACCTTCACTGATTATAGTTTCACATTTATAGATTAGTGCATCAGAGGTCAACGTAGGACATGATTAAACTTTCTCAAATGACCTTCTCTCATTTTATCCTTTATGTGTGCTACTTGTCCCGTCTGCTGAACATGAACATTCTGAATAAGTGTGAAATCACCTAATACTTGCATGTTGAATGACTTCCACTCAGTGCCGTAAGATGCTGCATTTTGTGGCATTTCTTTGATAAAATAATTAAGTAGGCAATAATTTACAGTTATGTCTAATTTAGTCCTTGGTTTTGCATCGTACCAGTCAATCTTTTAAGGGTAATCTCTTTTTAGTTCTAATGTGGCCAATGTGATTGAGGTCAATGAAAAATGAATTATTTAGTTAGAGATCTAGTTTTTACCTTTAAGCTCTATAAAATTTTCAAAGTATTTGTCTCCAGTATGCTTTTGTTCCTTCTGCCATTGTCAATTATGCTTCCGTTACTTAGCTAGGTTGCACTGGCAACCATATTTGATGGCTAAGTAAAAAGAGTTTAACGACTAATCATGTGACCTCCCCTCTGTCCCCTAGACAAAGTATTGTTGAGGATTCATATTAATGGGCTAGTTTTACATTGGCTATTGCATCCCTCCTCTTTTACCCGAGCTCACCCAGGCAGAGTAATCCTCCCGTAAACAAAGTAAAATCATTAAGTTTGAAACTCTTTTACCAACACGGTTCTTATCATAGAAAAAGTGGATATTTCAGGCCATAGCTCACCTTATGTCAATGTTTGTTGATATTGTTTTATTTCTTCAAGTTCATGAGCCATGTACTTACTTGAAATGGTATCTTATTTCGGCAACTATGCAATCATGTTGTTCTTGAGGCAGGCTGCAAAAATTATTGCTAATTTAATTGTAATGGGCTCTTCTATATTGGCAAGGGCTTTTGTTCAAGCATATCGTCAGGCATTGTCCAGTAAGTATCTTCTGAATTCATGTTCCTTATTTTTTGAAAATAACTTTGTACTCAATTAATCTGAGTCATTCTGTTCTGCATCATAAGCATTTTGGGGCTGTTGGGGTGTTTGGTTTGTTTTTTCTTGCTTCCATGCACATCTTGCTCACTCTGTACTTGACTGCATCCTGATGGCAGATGCCTCGAAGAATGGTGTTGCTCAAGAAGCAGTGCAGAATATTAAAAGATCTAGCAAAACCATGACGGAAGCAGAGGCAAGACAGATTCTTGGTGTCACAGAGGATTCATCATGGGAAGAAATTGTGCAGGTTCGTTTAAATGTTTGCCGTTATCTTGTGACACTGCTTTCGTCTTTAATATGACATTAATACGTCTCTTCTCATTTTTCTTGCAGAAGTATGACAACTTGTTTGAGCGAAATGCTAAAAACCGGAGTTTTTACCTTCAATCAAAGGTACATAGAGCTAAAGAGTGTTTGGAAGAAGTTCACAAACCTAAAGAACCAGAAACAAAATAAGAAATCTCGTGCTGATGTTTAGTGTATATTCTTGCTGCTAATGATTTACCTAGCTAGTTCCTTGGATCTTTGTCGAAAATTTTATATTTTGGTGACAGCAGTTGAGGTTTCTGTTCAAGAACTTCAATGTAGTGAGTGTGTTAGACACATCACAGCACAACACACTCACACCATTGTAGTATACATGTGTATAAAGGGATCAATTTCTTGAGTAGCTAACAAAAAAAGAAGTTGAAAAAACTTGATGACATTTTCGCCCATTATTTTAAGTTGTATTCATTATTCAAGCTTCTTATATGGTGATGTTTAAGTCACAGCAAAAATGCTGTTTATCTTGCATTATTTTGTTATGTTAAAACATCGTGATGCATAAAATCGTTATAATTTAAAAAGCAAGGCAAAAAAAATCTAGCATTTTGCCTTCTTGTTATAACATAATTTAATTTAAATTGTATTATCCTGTTTCTTTTTTTCTTTCTCTATATAGCATTTTGCCTTCTTGTTATAACATGTTTGCAAAAAAAAAAAGTAAAAATCTAGAGCTTCGTTTAACATGATTCTCAAGGTCTCACAAGAATGTATGAGAGGAACAAGAGGATTCGCACATTGTCAGGTCTAACAAGATTTTTTTTTTCATTCTCAAGGCTTGAATTTGAGATCTTTGATTAAAGGTGGAAGGATCTCAACCATCTCGCCACAACTCATGTTCGTACTTTTTAGATATAGAATGATATATAATACTGATAGGGGAGTATTAGCCAATTTAAATTCCTTTTTCATCCCAACTTGTCAAACTCGTACAAGTTGGAACCTTTATCAAAAATAATTATGCAATGATCTGTAAGACTATAATAATGCCTGAAATCTCAAAGAATTGTAGTTCTGAACTGTTTTATTTTCTGGTAATGATTACAAAAATATGAGGAAAAATTACATATTCACAGATGGTGATGAACTTGCAAGTGAGTAAAATTAAATGTATGATAATTAGTCAAGATGAATATTACAAGGTAAAAAACTGATAACTTCACCATCTTCATCATTTGGGAAGGTAACACATTTGAAAACTTTGCATTTTGAGCACAATAAGTATCCCGTCTGCGCGGTAAGATGAAGAAAAAACTTAATTCCATGGAAAAATAATGGAATGTGAGATGATAACAATTCCTAGAAGAATACAGTAAAAAGAAAACACTTACAGCTCTACATGATGGATACCGACGATAAATTTTGTTAGTCTCAGATTTCACATTGGTCTTCTGACCTTTACAAAAATCACAGAGCAGCCATCCAGTGCCACCACAAGGCTCACATAAGATTCCTGCCTCAACCTTTCAATTGAAAACAGACAGATAAAGAGTTCGAAAGCAGCACACCATCTCAGTAAGCAAGAAACGCAGATGGCAAGAGGTAAAGATTCAGTATCTTAAAATGGAGAGCAGATGATATTAATAGAAAATGGGGTTAAACCAATGCAGATCTAAACTATCTACCAAGGGTCACTGCAAAGGGACCATCCTTACAGTTGAAGATTTGAAGAAAAGGAAGATAGCATCCTTACATGGTTTTGTCTTTTTAAAATCAGCAGCTTTATCATAAATAATAGTTATTTGAATAAAATGCTTCTGAAAAGTTAAGAGCAATCAATGCACTTTACATAGCCTACTTCTAAATAGTTAGACAACATTGTGTACATTAAGATGATGTTGCTTAAAAGCACTTTACATCTTTCTACCCTTTTTCTCCCTCACAGCTCTGGTGGCATGCTTATATATGCTGATGATGTTGCTTTAAACTATCTTTTCTTATGCTTGTTTCTGAGTAACTAATTCCTTGTTTCTTTCATTTGCCTAAAAGTCATTCTGTAGACATAGCCTTTTAGATTTTTCTTGGAACTCTCTCTTAAATCTTCATCAGTTTACAACTTCATTAAAAAAAATCATCAGCTTACAATTTTATATTGGCCTAGGGTGTGGTTGTCAATATAAGTAAACATGAAAGAGAAACAAAGAGAGGAGAAAGTTGAAGTACTTACAAATACAATAATGGTCCTAATGGCTAGAGTTGCAGTATAAAGAACAGACGAAGCAAACATACAGAATCATGAACTTGGTCATGAAAATCTAAACAACCTAGAAAAGAAAATTTTAATCAATTTTTGTCTGTCCCTTTAAGATTAATGTGGTACTGCCTTCCTATTTTCATGACAAAATATCATGAGTTTGATAAAAGATGTATACCTGGACCACCCCTAGCAAAATAACCAGGGAGTTAACTACTCTCATTAGGAAAAGGTATGACTAGTTCCGTATTATCTCTTCTTTTATTTTGCATGCCTTTGTTAAGGTTTCCTAAAACAAGATATTAAAGTTTTCTTTGGTCCAACGATGTATAAGCTCCCCGTTTAACTAATCCATAGTAATTTGAACACTTTCTTGATATATATTACCCCATAATCTTGCGTTCTTGCTTTCCGGGGTTGAATATTAGCCCAAGGGAGCTTGCATTATTGTGCCAAAAGGTATTATTTCTCTAGGGCTTCCAATTGATAATTTTTATCTTCCAATTGTGTGATGTTCGTTAGTAGTGCAGTACCTGATTAGTCAGTCTTTTGACGATAGGGGTAGAAAATCATGTAGTCTCTCATTTCTTTCGGAAGCTTAGCTTAGGTCATAACGACTTTGTCTTAGGACTACTTTTGTGACGTAATCGCTCTTTGTAGAATAAGTAAGTAGGAAGTTATCATTTCTTTCCTCTTTTTTGATGACAAGGGAAACCCGCACCCATGCTCCTATGCAATAGCTCGCAAATCACGTAGGAGAGGTAACCCCGCACTAGGGCAAGCCTGGGTGCGACGAGCTCGACCCAGAAGGCAAACCCCTTGCTTTCGCTGGCAAGGGGTTTCGAACTTGAGACCTTCAACATGGAAGTCCCAAGCCCAAACCATTGGGCCACCCCAAAGGGTGTTATCATTTCTTTCTTTCGGAAGCTTGGCTTAGGAAATATATGGCCGTGTCTTAGCACTATATTTTTGTCCACTGCTCTCCGTATTACCAATATAAATCTGTTTGTTCATAGCCAAGCCAGCAATTAAGAAAGGGAATTTTTTTCTCTGATTTCCAAAAAGTGATTTTTGCCTTTTCTCGTTATGTCTCTCCAAGGGATTGGAGGAACTATATGATGTTTATGTCTATGTATTCTGGAAACAGGTATCAGATGTTGTTCCAGTTGCTTGCAGGGCCGCAGCTGATGCTGGAATTCCATCTGTTTGTATCATCAACTTCAGGTTTTCACGTCTAACTCCCTTTTTTACTTCATATCTTCTTTGTCATACAGAAAAAGTTGGAAGAAGCTATAATTTAAGTGCAACATAACAAATTGGAATATTGATAGTCACTGACCTTGATCAAATGTTGATGATAAATATTTATACCAGAAGCTTAACTTACAGTTTTTACCTAATGAACGGGGAACATTTTATAGAGTTGACGAAGCAATCGATGTGGCTCTAAATCTGCAAAAACAATTCTCATTTTTTGAGATCAAATCTGAAATCAATGATTGTTAGGTAATGTTACTTATTCTTTCTTTATTTTGTGGATCAACAACTTCAATCTTATTAGAATGTAATAACTTCACTAGACTTTTTTCTTTTATGTGGCAGTGCATGCTTATATTTGGTAATTCACTGAGTTTTTCATTTGTGCATTTTTCTGGCATTTGTAAATTGACTTGATCTTCTCTTTTTGCAGATTATTCTTCACATAAGAATGATTGAGATTGTGCTCATGGCATATAACCAGATGAAAAGTGAGGGTAGCTTATGAATGGTATAAATATTGCAAACTTGAACTTTCCAAATTATGTATAATATAGGTTGTAATAGGCAACACTCAATTGTATATCTCTTAAGACTTGTTTCTACGTAAAAGTTCTTTGTTTCTTTCAATTAGTATTGCCACAACAAAAATGAATGATGTAAACAAGCACAAGAATTGTTTTGCTGGTGTTACTTTAACCAAGGCTGGCATCATGTTTAGTTTGTTTGTGCTGTTGTATTGTCACAGTGACAAAAAGAAATTGAAACCATGCATGTGCACGGGCCATGTCCCTCTAGTATATGTAGAAGGCAATAAAGACTACAACTATAGAACATTCAGAGCAAAATTTGAAAGAAAAATAAGCTCTAAGTTGTACAAAAAGAACTGAACAGGCAATAAAAAGAGAAACAACAAGCAATTTTGCCAAATGAGAGAACATGCTGTCACTGTAGAAACTAACAACTAAGAATGCTCTACCAGCTCGAAAAAGGGGCAAGCTTGTTGCATATCAAACGATCATCCAAGTCAAATGTTGATAACCAGCCCATTTTGCAGCAAGTCGGACACCAATGGCCAATGCAGCACATATCAGAGGAACTGGGACCTTCCTAACTGCATCGGTAGTTTCCCCTTCACTTTTATTCAAAGGCGTTTTAGAGTGTTACAGAATGGCCAAAGCAGTGTAAGAAACCATTACTACCAGTCTAACCCAAGGCTCTCCCACAGCAGCTAATGCAGCAGCAGCAGGCATTGCGGAAGACACATAATCTCTTCTTCTGATAAATCGAGCAAAGAAAAACAAGCCTAGGAGTATAAACCAAAAGAACAGCTCGGAAATATAACCCTTTACAGCAGCAAATCCCATTATTCCAGCTGCTGTAAGAAGGTATGGTTGGCTGTTCACAGAATCTGGAACTGCCGCTTCACCAATAGCAAGAACACAAGATGCCAAAATGATGATTGTTGTTAGCTCTTGTACTGGTGCATATGCAACTATACTGGAGTAGAAAGCTCGAATGGAGTAAATTGTTGATTCAATAAACCTAATTATAGTTGTGATATGATCCCCTATGAAGTAGTATACAACATCCAATGCAAGTTTTGAGATGTAACCGAGAAATCGGAAGACAGCACCCACAGCCTTTTTCCAATTATCCAGTTCCCACAAGATAGTCCTCCAGGCATATAGAATAAAGGCCAAAGCTACATATTGACAACAACTACAGAGTTAATGAAGTACTCTATGTTTTTAGCTGGAACACTTCATTCATAAATAGAGAGCTACACATGAAAAGTGCAAAACACGAATGTGAGCTACTACTTAAATGAAAATCGCAAGGAAATCAAACGATCAACAACTACATGATATTCTAACAGCAGATACATGGGAGCATCTTGGGCTTTCTTTCTACTTGTATCAAAAAAAAAATATTATCACTCAACAACAGCTATACTCAACTACATAACCTAGACT